TAACATCTTTTCTCCATGGTCAACTTTATTTTCAAGGTTATATATTGTCTTCATTACCTGAAACTCTGTCTTCAAAGTGTCTAGTCTGTTAGTGATGTTTTCCATTGGATTTTTAATTTGGTTTATTGAATCTTTCATTTCAAGAATTTCTGCTTGATTTTTTTTTCAGAATCTCTCTTTACTGAAGTGATCTTTCATTTCCTGATTTTCTCTCTGATTTCACTCCTTACATTGTCCTTTACCTTCTAGACTGTTTATCTACATACATTTTAAACTCATTCTCTGACATTTCCTCCACTGTGGTGTTGATGGGTGCTGTTATTGAAGTGTCTTAGTTTATTTGGGGTTATTTGTTCCCTTGCTTTTTCATGTTGTTTGTATGTCTACCTATGTAACAGTATAGATCTGGGGCAGGAGAGTTTCTACCCTGTGGACTTATAGCATCCCTGAAGATTTCCAGTGTTTAAGTAATAACAAAACCAATGCAAACAATCTACAACATTAAACCAAATAGTTCTTGCTATGGCATCTACAATGTTAATTGTCACAATAAACAGAAGTGATATGATCAGTTATTGCCTGCAGTAAAAACAGTAAGTTTTCAAAAGTGTTTACAATTTTGAGTGGTGGTCAGGGAGAGAACAGAAGTGATGTAGGATGTGATGATTATGAGGGAAGAGGAGAGAAGATAAAAGTAAGAGGTTATAGTTAGAGTGAAAGAACAATATGGATTGGCTATAGAAAAGAGAGAATCAAGGAAAACAAATAAGTGAGAGGAAAAAATATATAAAGTAAAAATTAAAAAAAAAAATAAAAATAAAAGAATACAAAAACAAAACTGAAATACACTAATCAAACATCCTGGTCCTCAAAGTACTGGCTTCAAGAATACTAGAAATGAGAGAAAAAAAAACTCATCTATGAATATGTATAAATGTCCATGTTCTGTAAGGACACAATTGAACAGAGAAAAGAAAATAAAATCTCAATGAAAAGTTAAAGAATTGTTTCCACTGAAGTTCAAATGATTCTCAGTTTTCCTTCTCAGAAGTATTAGGTGAGGTGGTCTGAAGTGTGATGCTTGCTCCACCCTCCTGATGGGGTTGCTGGAGTGAGAGAGGTGATCCTGTAGGCAGAACTCCTGGAGGTAGGGTTTTGGCTTAGGTAGGCTCCAGGTTCTTGGTTCTTTGTTGAAGGTCAATTGGTTGGTCTGAAGATTCTAAATCAGCGCACCTCCAGGGCCCAGGAATTGCCAGTCCATGCTAGAAGACTTCACCCAGGGACCTCTCCTGGGTTCCACTCCTGTGGTGGAGGAGCCAATTCTTAGTTCACTCTATCACCTGTGGACCCCACATTTTCTGGTCTCAGGTTTAGTCTCCAAACTCAATCTCTCCCCTGACACACTTTTGAATTCCCAGCCAGGTGCATCTCTCCCAGTCGCTCCTACAAGCAGCTGGGTTGGAGAGGGACGGGGAGAACCAGTTGGGCTTCCATGACTAGTAGTCTCTTAAGTAAACCCCTCTCCATGTTTGATCTTCACCTGGTCACTTAGGCACACTCTATGTTGGCAGTGCATTTGCCAGGTCTGTATTTTGGGCCAAATTTGGGTTTGCCATGAATTGGCTTCTCCAGCTGCTGGCCCCCATGCTGTGGCTACAAAGTGGTTCCTTCCTGTGTCCTCTGAAAGCACTCGGGAGAGATGCATCTTCTTTCCTGCACAAAGATATTGTGCAGAATGCTTTTCAGTTTGGTTGCGTAGTGTCTTTGATCTCTGATCTCTCCTTACCCAGACACTCCTCAGGCCTCCTAAAAATGTGGGTTCCTTTAATTCCCTTATCCCTCGAGTTTGCTTGTGGTGGGGCTGCTCTGGCTGGTGTCTCTGGCCACGGTAGTGGCAGTGGCACTTGGGATTTCTTCCTTATTTTATTACATCCAGCCTCCTGAGTCCCCAATCTGCTTTGAGTATCTAGTATTAAATCCTGGTAAAGCCCCCCCACCAACTCTTTTCACCCACTTTGCTGAGAAGCTGACTGTCTGCTTTCTTAGTTTCACTCTACCTTCTCTATTTCACCATCCTGAATCCTTATATCCTATTTTATCCTTAAAATAATTTTATCCTGAAACTTCAAACTCTTCAATATCTTGAATAATTGATTTTATTTATAAGCTAAACTAAATTACCTTATTTTTTTAACTCCCTTCAGTTATTCTACTTTTCTTGGTAGGTTAATAAGAAAAACAGCATCTAAGTTATCAGTTTATTAAAGTTTAATGATGTAAGTTGATATCACTGAAACATATTCTCTAAATATAAGGGAGAATTACAAATACCAATCCAACTCTATGAGTGCTGTGTTTTCACAATGGTGACACCCTTTTTGTGACATTCTTGTTTGGATCTCTGAACAAGATTGGAGAAGGCTGATTCTGGTTAGACCCAGGCACTATGTTTAAGAAACAATAGGTGCAAGCCAGTCAATGGGGGAATTAGGCCCATGTTTGGGTCTCTTCAGAATGCCTGTATGCTAAATAAGTTGAGATAAATAGCCTTGGCTATTGAGCCATTACACACACACACACACATACTTTCTGATTTACTTGTAGAAAAAAGAGTAAGGCAGAATGTGTCAAATTTTTCACAGCAAGTAAAGCGTATTAATATTAAGGCTAGATGCAAAAAAAAATCAGTTGATGTGGTTGATATGTTTTAACAATACAGAAAGTGAAACTTGGGACTGGGGTTGTAGCTCAGTGGTACAGTACCTGCCTACCATGCACAAGGACCTGGGTCTTATCCCATCACTGAAACAAAACAAAACAAAAAAACAAAACCTTACCAGGAGAGAAGAAACATTTTGACATAATATACAAAATACTGCTTCTCTCATTATGATTGTGACTTTGAAAGGGATTATACACTTCAAATAATTTTCCTTCTACAGCCCCCCCACCATATGGAACATATGGTTTAAAAATAGAAGAAAACCAGTTCCTTTTCCCAGTTAAAATAAGAAAAGGAAAGCTTTGAGAATGGCAAACCACCTTCTCTGTGAAGACTGTCTCCTTGCAGATCTGGCTTTCAGTTCATGCTTTCAATCTCCACCCTGTGCTGCTCAGAGGACTCCACAGGCCCTGTCAACAACCCTCAGATGGCTCAAATGCAATGATGCCTGTGTCAGAGAAGATGACATTCTGCTTCTTTCATCTATTTTAGTGATAGGCAAATATGGCAAGAATTACAATATATGTATTTATTACATTATTCATTTTATTATTTAGCTTCTGTCAGCTTAAGGTTAGTTTAAACAATGGAAAGGAATAGAATTCATGAGAAGAATGTTAGTGAATGTAGGCAAACCCAATTGCAATTTGAAGATTTTTATACATCCAACTCATTTGCAAAGTTGCTTGCGGTTACCAAAAGTCTTCTAGACACAGGAAACTTAGGCATATTGCCTTATAATTTATCATAAATTCTTCATGTGCCTGAAGAAATTCTTCATAAATTTTAAGAAAATTCAAAATTTCCATTTAATATTCTTTTTTCCAAATAATATAAAACCAGTTTCTCGGAGTTTTCTCACACGGCAATACCTTAATCTTCCAATTATTTTTGTTTAATCAGTTTCAATGTGGGGTCTACAGATTTCTACATATTTAATAAATTGAATTAATTTATGGAAGTACGGAACATAGATTTAGATGCTTAGCAAATATCTGAAAAATGTTTAGTCGACCGGATAATTATAAAGAATAATTAGAATCATAGAGGATATCAGTCTCAAATCCATTTTAAGGTTTCCAAAAATTGGTTGTAGATTTTTTAAAATAAGTAATAATAATAATTAGTGACAACCCTTATTTAATCTTCTTGCCAAAATTAATATTTTATAGCTGGGCACTGTGGCACACATCTATAATCCCAGTGACTCCAGAGACTGAGGCAGGAGGATTGCAAGTGTAAAGCCAGCCTCAGCAACTTAACAAGGCCTAAGCGACTCAGCGAGACCTTGTCTCTAAATAAAAAATATTTTTTTTAAAAAAAGGATGGGGATGTGGCTCAGTGGTTAACTGCCCCTGGGTTCAATTCCTAGTACCAAAAATTAAAAAAAAATAATTAGTATCTTATAAATTTTAGAATGATCATAAAACTTTTTTCCTTCTTCTTCCTTCCTTTCATATTAAGGATTGAACCTGGGGTGTTTTTACCCCTAAGCTACATTCTTAGTTCTTTTTATTTTTATTTTGAGACAAGGTCTTGCTAAGTTGCTGAGCAAGGTTGGTCTTGAATTTGTGATCCTCCTGCCTCAGCCTCCTGAGTTTCTGGGATCACAGTCATGCATCACCACGCTCAGCATAAACACTGTTTAACAAGATGGAACTATCCCAGTAATAGATAACAGGTGTCATTCCAATTTTTAAAATGCCATTAATGCAATAATTTATTTAAAATCATTCTTTGTACCTCACAAGGACAGCAGGTTGGTTAGAAGAAAGTACATTGGATTACAGATAAGAAGATTTGTATTACAGTGTTAGTCCTGTTAACTTTCTAGGCTAGTCACCTACTGCAAATCACTTAAAATTCGTGAGCTTTGAGTTCTCCATGTATATCATTTATTTTGTTTGGCTCCACTGCTGGGCTGTAAAAAACGTGCATGTAGCATTCAGGTCTGGTACCCACTTCACCTGCAGCCTCCTGCCAGTTCCCGACATGGCAGGCCCTCCACTGATGTCTACTGGCCGACTGCACTAACATTAGAAAGTGAAAATGTGAGCACTATCACACATGCCCTGGAAGACCGTGGAGGTCTTAAATGATAGAGTGATATTTGGGGAAATGGGTACACTCTCCACATTTATATCCTTGGTACCTAATTTAAGAAATTTTAAGAAGTAAATGTGTTAATAATTGAAAGTTACTTGATAATTTTAATAATCAAAATTATTTCAAATCACTACAGATAATATAGCAATAAATATTCTAAAAAGTAGGCCACTTAAAGGATCAGAAGAATACCTTTATTGCTTTATATCAACAAGATTTTGGAAATAAAATAATATGTGATTTTTCAATACCACAGGCAAATTCTCTAAACAAATTCAGATAAAAAAGTCAAATGTGAATTCCCTATAACAGCCATAATATGTAACATCATACCCTGTTTTTAAAAGATAAGCAATTTACATGTATTAATGTTTAAAAGATAAGCAATTTACATGTATTAATGTATATATATATATATAAAAAGAAAAATCAACCTATAAATTTGTATATAACATAGATGTATATAAATACTTGGAAAAGGCCTTAATGATACTCACCTAACTAATAACAGTGGTTTTCTTCTGGAGAGGGGAATGAACTGCATAAGGGTAAACAAGGACTTTTGCTTTATTGGTGCTGCCTGAATTTTCTCACAGTAGGAATGAGAAAAAAGACAGATGAGAACATATCACCCACCCAGAGAATCCCCTAATATATAAAGGGTAATGATCTGCTTAATTTAATACAAATAGGGAGAGAGTTTTTGTTCTTGCAGGGAGGAAGTACTTTTGTCTTCAGTATCACTACATTTAGTTATTCTTTCATAGAATGGGTGAAATAGTTTCCCTATAGAGAAGGAAAAACTCAATGGTGAAAGCACTGATATGTAGTTAGAATCTATGATCTAGATATCTAATATTACACATTAGATAGCATACTACCCCCCACCCCCCACAAGTTAGAAGGATTAAGGAAAAATAGATTCTTTCGATACATATAGTGGTAACGGGAAACTAGTAATCAAGGATTACAATATAGCCTTTGAATATTCTATTAAATAAATGAGTTAAAGTGTTATCTTTACTTGTTTTATTATTTTATCACAATTCACTTGCTCAGTTCATTAGACAAAAAGACATGTTGACTAAATACAAAGTAATTTCTAGTTCCCGAGGGGCCTGTGCATCATTACCTGATTGTTATTGTTGACTTGCTTCATGGCTCCCAAGCTCCCCCTGCTGCTGAAGGGTCTTCCTTCCCTAAGGTTTTCCTCATTTCTGTGTCTTCCTCCGGCTCCAAGAGCACTCCTTCTTCCATAAACCTCCTTTCCTGGGAATAGGACCTTCTTCCATACTGTGTTCCTTGTAGGTAGTCTGTGCCCAGCAATGGCTCCTGGGTCTGTGGTATGTTTGGATCATAACTCCCCAGGGTTTCTCCCATTACTCTAGGATCATAAAATCCCTCTGATCTTAGAGAAGGATATCTGTTGTCTTTCTGCTCATAAGTATTCAGTCTCCTTTCAACCACTTCCCGGATCAACACTGCAAAGTTCAGAAGTCATTATGATTTTTATATTTTTGATGAGTATAAAACATTCACCAGGCCCCTCCTTCCTATATCATAACCTTTAAAGTCTTAACTTCCTCACCATTTTATATACTGAATATGAGTTATATTCTTTGCTTGTTTTAACAGAACACCACTTATAAAACAGTGACAACAGGAGATATTAATACTAATAAAATTACACACAAAAACTTAAGGGCAAAAATTGGGCCTTTGTTAATATAATGAATAGATTTAAAGTTTAAGTAATATAAAATTAGAATATTTCTTTCATTTGTTTGTCCACTGAAAATTTTAGAGATGACTCATAAAAACAATAAAAGAACTTACTGTCAAGCACTGTTCTTCCCACCATGCTATATTCCATGGTTTTTTCAACTTCATTCATTAGCCATGGGAGAAATCCTATTTCAATATCTGTAAAAAGGAAATTTCATGAAGTCATTTTAAAAATTTTAAAAATTTGTTCTCATTAGTTATACATGACAGTAAAATGCACTTTGATACATCATACATAGATGGAGTATGATTTCTCATTCTTCTGGTTGTACATGATGCAGAATCCCACCAATCCTATAGTTATATATGTACATAGGGTAATAATGTCTGACTCATTTTACTATCCATCCTACCCCATAACCCCTCCCCCTCTCTTTGTTCCCCTCTACCTAAAGTAACTCTGTTCTTCCTCAGCCTTATGGATCATTATAAATAGGAAGAAAGTGCTTTTCCCCTAATGTAACAGATTTATCACCATTGTTTTCTCAATAGAAAATATTAAATAGACTTATACAGCATAACTTTTGCAAAGGCTATGTTTTGGTCAGTTTCCTTTCTATCAAAGTGGAAGTTATATTTTAAAAACTTGGAGTCACATAATTTAAACTTTGCTTAATAGGTGCAATGTCAGACAGATCAAGGAGGCACAGGAAAATGTGGTTTTGGCAGAATCCAGTGAAATGTGATGCACATCTGGGATTGAGCATTGCCAGTAAAACAAATGCCCCCAGTTGAGACTCCTGGCATAATGGAAGCTGATTGAACTCAGAGGATGCAGGTCAGAGGGCAGCCATCTAGAAATGGGTAAGAAATCAGGTGTTTGCATTAATAATATGTTTGTTCTGACTGAAATTGAAATATACTGTGTAAGCATTTCAAAAATATGGTCCATTATAATATGCATGTTAAACTTTGAAAACAGCTTTTTTGGGAGGCAGGCATTTAATTGGTATTTTTCAATAGTATGACAGTGGAGAGTTTGTTAGACTATTATATTTGCTATTATAAATAATTGAAATCTCAGGCATGAATTTCATTTGCAAATTTTACCCAATGTTTACGGCAACCCATGATAGGGAAAAAAAGCTACTGTTTTTTGTGACTAATAGTAGGAGGCCTGACATGAGCCCAAACGGTAGGACGGCAGCACAGAGAGAACAGTGGGTTGGAGCTGGAGTTCCAGGCCAGTGTGAGAGCCATAGTAAGCTCCCAGGAAGAAGGCTTTATCTTTCCTGAGCTTCCATCTGTACTTCTGAGAAATGGCCATTATATCTGCCGTATCTCTCGGAGGCAGGACTGTATAGGACAGTAGGCTCTGAGGACAGGCTAACAGATGGCCCACACACTATAGGCTCTGAAAGCCAGAGACTGGAGTTCCTGTTACTTTTTTATTTTGTCTCCAATACCTAACACAGTGCAATGCAAGCACCTAATTAAATGAAAGGGTGTCTTCTGTAGCGGCCCCCAAAGGGTTTCTGATTGGAATAGGGAATCAGCTGGGAAAAAGTTAATAATAAAAACTATTTGCACATATGTAGTGCTTTATAGTTTACACAAAGTTTCATATACTTTATGATATTATTCCTGAAAGGTCCTCATTTCAAGTCATGGAGGTAGTTAATGATGAACCTGGGATTTAAATTTTTGACATCAAGTCCACATTTCTACTATACAATGTTGCTTCTTAATAAAGAAGTCCTAGGGCTGGGGTTGTGGCTCAGAAGTAGAGCGCTCGCCTAGCATGCGTGAGGCACTGGGTTCCATCTTCAGCACCACATAAAAATAAAATAAAGATATTGTGTCCACCTATAACTAAAAAATAAATATATAAAAAAAGAAGTGCTAACACTCTACAATAAAGATCTTTATAGTACACCTTTTTTAAGATGGCTTATTTTAATTTTTGATACATAATTTTACTTAATTGCTTGGTACTATAATACACCTCTTATCAGTAATAGTGCTCACTTAAAACAACTATAATTAACATTTTTGTTTCAGAAATAGATCCTAATTCAAAATAAAAAATGGGCATGAAATAAACTTGAACCATTAAGAGGATGCTTATTAAAACAGAGTTAATCTAACAAAAATCTTCACAAACCTCTCTCGATAGGATCATAAAAGTAGCCGCTATCCCTGAGACTGCCAAAAACAGATGGGAGAAGGTCGGCCAGATAACGCTGTGCAAATGCACGGGCAGAAATCTTTTGTGCTGTCTCGTTATGTTTGTTTATTATTTCCCACTGCTGCTGCTTACGACGTTCCTGTCAAGAGAAAAACATCATCAAAGATGGTTATTTAGGCATTCTGTCTTCCCGAGACATTGAATTTAGTGAAATCAATAAGTGAAAGAATTTGGACTTACCAAAAAGTGGACAGCAGGGTATCTATTAAAGATCTTTCATCAAGATTTTAATGAGTTTCAACTAGTGGGTACTGAGTTCAGAAAGATATGAAAGACGGAGTAAAACTCATTTCCTGATTATGATTATTTTATTCAAGTAAAATAATTTCATGATGGTTCTGGTTTGGCTATGAGATGCCCCCCAGATTTCCTGTGTTAACGCAGAAATATTTGGAGGTAAAATGATCACATTATAAGATCTGTGGCCTAATCAATCCATCCTAATTTGGAAGGGCTCCTGTGCTGGGTGGAACTCTGGCCCAGTGAGACTTACTCTGAGGAGTGGGTCCCTGGGGACATTCCCTCCCCAACCCCTTGATCTCTCTCCTGCTTCTGGCCACCAGGAGCTGAGCAGCTTTCCTCCCCCCCACCTTTCAGCCATGTTCCACCACCTCAGTGCCATGAGGTCTACTGACTACAGATTAAGCCTCTGAAACGCCGAGCCCAAAATAAACTTTTCCTGCTCTAAGTTGTTCTTGCCAAATATTTAGGTCATAGCATGAAAGCTAACAAAACAATAAACTTGCTTGACTGTACAGATGCTATCAAAATGATATTAATTTTTTATAGTACTGGGGATTGAACCCAATGGGACTCTACAACTGAGCTATATCCCCAGCCCTTTTTATTTTTTACTTTGAGACAGTGTCTCATTAAGTTGACGAGGCTGGCCTAAAACTTGTAATCCTCAGTCTCAGCCCTCCCCAGTTGCTTGGATTACATAGTACCTGGCTATATTTCTTTTTCTTTCTTCTTTTGATACCAGGGATTGAACCCAGGGGCACTTAACCACTGAACCACATCCTCAGCCCTTTTTATTTTTTATTTTGAGGCAGGGTCTCATTAAGTTGTTTAGGGCCTCACTAAGTTTCTGAGGCTGGCTTTGAACTTGTGATCCTCCTGCCTCAGCCTCCTGAGCTGCTGGGATTACAGGTGTGTGCCACCATGCCTCACACCTGGCTATATTTTTAATTAGTATTATAGAATAACACTGACAGGAAAATTATAATTGCTTATAATTTTAAATTAAATATCATAGATCAATGAATAAACTTGTGTAAAAATTCAATCCACAAAGCTAAAATGTTCTGAACTTGAAAGCCTCTTTTTTTTGTTGTTACTTCCTTTAGATCATATACCATCTGTAAAACCAGCGAACACACTTCTCTACTCCCAGGTGGGAGTGGGAGCAATAATATGTTTTCTAATTAAGTTTATTTCCAAAGTTTCAGCAATTATAGATCTAGATGATTTATGTTCTTGATTTTTCCATAATATACTTCCTAATAATAAATAAAAATTTTTGAGAAAGATTTCACTAATTAATTCCATAAAGGTTTTTTCTGTCAGTGTTATTTTATTTATAAGAAAAGTTTTGCATTTGCACGATCCTTACCATAAACTGTGTGCTCTGTTAGCAATTATGCATTTTGGAGGAAAACTTGAGGTCCAGCTGATTAACTACTGAGAAGAATTTCCCAACAAACTGCTCTTCATCGTAAACTGGGCCCTTTGGGAAGTTATTTTAACTGGTTTAGGTACTCGGGCACTGCTTTTTAATTTGTTCATTAATATACAATAGAAGGTGTTCATAAGTATAAAATTATTGTCAGAATCGGACAGACACGTAAAGATTACTAAATCTAGAGTTACCTAATAGCAGGCTATTGGTACATTTTAAAAAACTGGGTTGTAGAATTTCTTTTATTAAAGTTATAATTTGCAAAATATTCAGTAAGGATCCAAGTAATTCTGGAATATCCCTGGGGATACAGAGAAGGACTGACCACTGAGAAAAAGACCCAGAATTCATCGACTTACGGTAAATCAATATCTTTCTGACTCCTGATATTTAAGAGTACCTTCCAGTTCAGACACATTTAATTTATGAACTTTCAATTAATTTGGGAACTTCTAGAATCTCAATTTAGATACATTTATGTAAACTGAAATTTTAAAATGTCAGTTCAAGAAATATTTATGATCTCAAGGAAAGACCTGAGCAACAAATACTATAGATTTTTTAAAAATATATTTAAATGTCTTTAGCTTTGTAACATGCCACATGTAATTTTGAACATAATACATTAAAGAGTCAAAAGATTAAGAGTGGCTGGGGGCATAGCACAGTGGTAGAGGATGCACCTAACATGTGCAAGGCCCTTGGGCCCTTGCTTTAGTACACACACACACACACACACACACACACACAACTGGCTAACAAAGAAAAATAGAATTCCATACTTTTTCTTCTCGGTGTCGTCTCTCTTGCTCTTCCAGTCGCTGAACTTCGGCCAGTTCCACATTCCGTATTTCTTCATATGCATGCTGACTGGCCTGCAGGTTGGCCAACTCTTCTTCTTCCATCACTTCCAGAAGGGCCTGCTCAATTGTCTTCCCCACCAAAACTTCTAACATTGGTTTAACTTCAAGGTCAAAGTCAAAAAGCTTAAACATACACACACACACACACACACACAAAAAGTAAACAAAACTGTAGTTACTAACTAAATGCATCATGAAAATATAAAAAAATATTAACAACAGGGTATTATTGTCATGCTGTCCGTGTGCCAGAGTGCTGGTACTTGTGATTTCTAATTCTCAGAATAACCCTTAAGGTACACAGCATTGTGCTAATAGGCAAAAATCTAGTAAGTCAAATTATGAAAAAAGTATACATTCATCAATGTAAACCCTGATACTCAGTAACTTTAAGATCAAAGCCAAAAGGAAATATTCTGTCCTGGAGCCAAAGGGAATATTCTATCCTGTCCTTATTCTTTGCCTTTCCTGCTCATTTTTTCCTGGCTGTTTTTCATTAAAACTGATGAACAAAGGAACAAGAATATGAATATTTTAAGTAATTAATGTTTAGGGTTTGGAGGCAAAAACACCCTCCTCTGTAGCTTCTGAAGACTTATTTATTTCCCACTGTCAGTGACAGTTCTTTCAAGTTCCTTCAAGTCTTAAATCTCATTTATGCATATAATCATTGCCTTCTTTTCTTCAGTATCATAAACTGGTCTACTTATGCATTCCACATTGATGTGAAAATGTAATTAAGACTCTTCTAAACACGGAGAGTATCTTCTTAAAATGTATATAATCCACAAGTTAAGAGTAGAATCTCTTCTATCGGGAATATTCGTCTTCCTTATTTGGTGCAAATCTGTCTTAAGTACATACATTAAGCACATATATAAAAAAATGAAACCAAATTATAAATATTCTAAAATATTTCTGATGATTTTATTTCTGATAAGAGGATAAGTCAGAATATATTATTTAAAAATATTTCTGGGTACTTATAGGACAAACTATTTTAGACACATCTGGGAGAGCAATCCAAAAAGCAGAATCCTTCTTAATGTGAAAGTGGTTCTGGTCTATGTTATGCCTTACCTAAACCTAAATTTATATCATTTATAAGATGTTAGAGGGAAGCTGAAAGAATATACTGTACCTCTCCTTCTAGTATTTGGGTGGCCACATCCCTGCCAGTCTTGGCAGGAATGAAGAGTGGTGTCGGTGGTTTGTCCAAAAACGCATCTGTTTGGCATTCCATATCAACTTCTATTACACGATCAGCAATTTCTTCAAGGTACAATTCTAAGAAGAATACCATATACACTAAATTTGAAATTCTGGTATATTTCAAGCATACATATATATTTGAAACTTTATCTCCTTCAAAACAGAATTAAATGGTTTAGAAAATAAGTCCTGGAATGAAAGTGCCAATGTGGGCTTTGATTTACACACTGGATTAAGAGTTTTATGTATCTGGAAGATCATAGAGTCAGTAAGGCTGGACTACTTACAAGTACTAGGTAATGGAATTGAAGAATATGAGACCACAGGTGTGTATAAGATGCAAAGTGTAATAGGGGATGGTGTGTTGATAAAGTGTAGGTGCAACTGAGTTCCTACACAGTCGATGTATAAAGATTTGAAAATTCCAAGATATTATAAATCATGAATCAAATCACCATGTTATTTAATGTTCTCTATCCTACAGATTACAAACACATGTATGAAAACAAATTTTAAGTTAGAAATAACTTATATGAAACAGGGACAATGCGGTACCATGTGAAGCACATGAGCACTAGCCAGAACACAGGACCTAGCCAAGATATATCTTCTGGATCCTCAGTTTCTTCATATGTAAAAGGAATCATAATTACTGTCATATGGAATCTCTGCAATAATAGAGGAGATCCACAGGTATGGGACTTGTGTAGTCCCTGAGGAAAAGGGGCTATTATATCACTTAATATTTTGGTGGTACAAACCAACACCTTATCTCTGCTACCATAGAATCTAGACTATATTGACTGATCACTGGTTCAAATCTAGGCCAGATTTGGCTTGGAGGTAGGGGGAAAAGTGTGAATGGATCTCTTCCTTTAATCTTTACTACAAAAACAATCTGAATGAATCTGCTCCCCATTTTGGCAGGGTACAAGATGAATCTTTAAGAAGTCACATTAGCCCAAGGAAGATGCCAGGTACTGTCAGATCACCAAGATACTGTTGACAGCCAAATCCTCTGGGTCCAGGTAACAGTGAGACAAGTAGAAAATCCTGGCACCTGCCTCAGAAGACCTGTGTGGCTCTGGAGGCAATGAAAAGTGAAGGGAGAAAAGAAGGAGACAGCAAAAGAGGCTGGTATGGAAGGCAGAGGATCAGATATGAGTGGGCTTCGTCTTCTCAAAAGATAGATAAAAGGCCAAGCAGGACTACATTGCTGTCCTATAGTATTAATTCCTCACGAAAAGAACTGTGATTCATGTTGGGCTAAGAGAAATAATCACAGGTTAAAATAAAATATGTGAAAAGGGCTAAGAGAGAATTAGTTTGATCATAAAACTTTAAAAAAAAATTTTTAGTTATAGATGGACACCATATCTTTAATTTATTTATTTATTTTTATGTTGTGCTGAGGATCGAATCCAGTGCCTCACACATGCAAGGCAAGCACTCCACCACTGAGCCACAACCCATCCCCTTTTTGTCTTAAAAAAATCCCAACCCACACTTCCACCCATGTCCAATATGATAATAGTACAGATATGTCTTTGCTTAACGAATGGGCTTCCTTACATCTGATTGGGAAGGACTGGTGAGCACAGAAGATACATACGTGATATAAAGACCAAGTAAAAATGAACTGACACAGACCGCTAAGTGAACAAAGGAGCCCTGGTGTCAATGGCATGGTCACATACCTGTCTGCACATTCACGTGCTTCCTGCCTTCCACAGGTTCTGGTGTCCGTGGTCTGAGCTGCTCTTGGGCTCGTTTCCTGGCAAGAGCCCTCCTTTTAGCTGCCTGTGCTCTCTGAAGCTCTAGAGGATCAGTCTGCCCAGACTGGGAGAGAAAGAAAAGGCTTCTAAAAGTTAGAAAACACCTCTCAAGGCATTCCAAAAGTGATTCCTAGGCTGAGGCAGGATGCTTCTAAGTTCAAGGGCAGCTTGAGCAATTTAGCAAGACCCTATTTTGCAAAGAAAAAAAAAAGGTGAGGGTGGTGTGGGGTGGTGTGGGGAGCTGGAGATGTATGTAGTTCAGTGGTGGAGCACTTCTGAATCAATACACAGTACCAAGTCAAACCAAACCAAACCAAAAAATGAAAGTGATTTCTGCATAGTATAAAAAGCATGCATCCCATAATAGTGCTTCTTGATTATCAGTGACTTGATAATGAAGATTTTTATTGTTACTTTGTTGAGTAATACACCTTTCAAAAAAGGTATCTGACAAAGCACAAAAGGACCTTCCAAGTCTGCCTGCTAACTAGAACAAATGGGTGCAGAATCCTGTGGAATAACACACCTTTCCTTGGGTGCTCCATAAAACTGATTTAACTATTCTTGTTACAATAAATTTTAATGTATGGTTAAGAAACTGAAAAGCATTATGATTTTTTAAAATCTAAATTTCGTTTGAACAGAATTTCCTTAAAAATTTCATTAGCTCACAAAGAAAACATTCTAAGTCCAAATGAAGTCTCTCCAGGTGAACAAGTGGATTAATTGCTCCCAGCAGTTCGGCACCTCCAGTGGTAACATGGCTCTCTTTTTTCTTTATTTGTCCTGTATTGTCTTTATTTGTTTTAGGTAACAGGGTGATAATTTTAGGTAGTAGTAATGAGCAGTGAATTGTGAACCAAGAACCTAGCAGGATCACAGGGTTTACTTGAATTGCCTTTAATAAACAATTAAGTAACTTATAGAACAACAATGGGTACACTAATACTGAGAATAAACAGGTAGAAACAAAAGGAGCCAGTTAAGAAATTATCAAGAAAGATCATTGAGACTAACTCCAACAGGTTCTACTGAAGTCACTGTAAAGTTAGGATTTATGCCATAGGTTTCTTGTGTATTTCAAAGGGAAATTTCATTAAAGCTCAGGGGCGCTAAGTCTACCCAGTCATTGAACCCAGCATCAGCACTGACATAGGATTGACTTGTAGATGAAGACCCCCCTGAATGGGATGGTAACCATGACCATTCCCATGAGGACCAATGTCAAAAACTCCCAGGTGGGAGGAGTCAAAAATGTGATTGGTATAGACTGCAGGCGGTGGAACCCCGTTCTCCTGGCAAACACCAAACAGCAATAAATTTGGAAGTAGCCTGTTTCCTTCCTTGTTCTCTGCCTGGAGACAACCCATTCTCTCCCACAGTCATTCTCTGTTTGAGCCAGACTTTACTTTCACTCATAATAGAATTCTCTTGCTTTGCTTTTCATGTCTGACTTTAAACTTTCTTTTGTTGGGACGCAAGGCCAAAGGTTTGGAACTTCATCTCTCTACTCTCCTGTGACAATAACGCTGGCCTCATAGAACAAGTTGAGAAATGTTCCTTTCTCTCTTATTTCCTGGAAGAGATTGTTTAGAATTGTTGCTAATTCTTCTTTCAATGCTTGGAAGAATTCTCTAGTGAGACTATCTGGACCTGAAGATTTCTTTTTTCTTTTTAGATATGAAATTGTTTTTAAATATGAAATTGTTTCTTTAGGAGTTATGAGAATTCAGAAGTTCTATTTCACGTTAGTGAATTTTGTAGTTTGAGGAACTGGCCCTTTTCATCTATGTTGCTGAATTTACATGTGTATATTTGTTTGTATTTGTAATACTGTGGTTCATTTAAAATAATATATTTGGTCTTTTATCTTCATTTTTTGGCATATAACTCCTAAACCTTTGGAATTTCTGGAGTGATAAGAATATCTTTTGTATGCTAATGAAATGGGTGGTGAATAAAGGTCCCTAAATAGCTTCAGGATGGCGTTGGTCACCAGAAAGACCAATGTGGCATTAGAGTGTTGGAACTTTCTGCTTCACCCTTCAATCCCAGGGAAGAAGAGAGAGGCTGAAGGTTAAATAGATCACCAATGCCCCATGATGTAATCAGTCATACCTACATAATGAAGCATCCATAAAACCCCAAGGGAGCAGGGTTCAGATGGGCTTCCTGATAGCTGAACAAGTGAGGTTCCAGGACAGTGGCACACAGGAGAGGGTATGGAAGCTCTGTACCCCTTCTCATGCACCTTGCCCTGTGAATCTCTTCCAGTCAGGCTGCTCAACTGTATCCTTTGCAATACCCTTTATAATAAACCAGTAAGTGTAACAGAGTGATTCTCTGAGTTTCTGATTCTCTGAGTTTTGAGTGGCAATAACAAATTAATCAAACTCAAGGAGAGGGTCAGGGGAATCTTAATTCATAGCAATTGGTCAGAAGTACAGGCCACAACCTGTGCTTGAGATTGGCATTTGAAGGGGAGGCCGCCCTGTGGGACTGAGCCTTAACCTGTTGAATCTGATGCAATCCTCAGAGGGATAGTTTTGGAATTTGGTGGAAGTAGAGGACACTCTGCAAAATGTGGAGAATTACGTGGTTGATGTGTGTAGAAATCCACACCCATCCACCCCAGACATATCTGTGTAACAACAGCTCACTGGGGAAGCTGTTCTTAGAATTATTGGCCTACCTAATCCTTAATGTCCCATCCCTTTCTCTGGTATTCTAAATTCTAAAGAAAGGCCTCTGTAACGCACTGCCCCCTTCTTCAGTTCCATGGTACACAGTATTTGTTGTATTATCCACTATGGGTAAAGCATATGGATTAACTTGCAGAAAAGTAATATGGCTGTCTGAAAAGAAAATGCAGGTGCTGATCCCAGGAGGTCAAGGTCCATTGTTGCTAAATTCTGGGAAGGAAGAAAAGGAGACCTGCTCCTCTAGAGAGGTATGGATTTCTTGTCCATTGTCTTGCTGTACCGCTTTTTCTCCTATAAAAGGTCTTTGTGCTTTGAAGCCCTCTAAGATAGAGACTTGAGACAAAAAGCCCCCTCTATTTTCTTCAGGGCCAGCTTTCAATAAAAAGAATTCTTTCCACCAACTTCTGCTCCCAAATCTTTGGTCACTCAGAGCAGTGGGCAGTATGGATATTCAATTCCAGTAACATTTGGGGCCACAGAAGTAAAGCACTGTGTTGAGCATGAGAGGAGATAGTAGACAAAAGCACTTTTGAATACCATTATCATCCTTTCAATCTTTTAAAGGCTACAGTACCTGTAGTTACATCCTCTGATATTCATTATTAATATTTGCAATTTATGTTTTCTCTCCTGTCAGTCTTTAGAGGTTCATCAATGTTATTGATCTTTTCAGAGAACCAACTTTGGTTTCACTGATTTTTCACTGTTGTTTATGATTTTGGCTTTTATCTTTTATTTTCCTCCTTCTCCTACTCTGGGTTTATTTTGTTCTTTTTATCTAGTTTATTGAGGTAGGAACTTAATTATTGATTCAAAGCCTTTCTTCTTTCCCTCTTGGCACTGTTTTGCCTCCATCCCATAAATTTTGATGTGCTATATTTTTTTCAGTTATAAGTGTTCTTTTAAATTTTCCTTTGACATTCTTCTTTAACCTATGGATTATTCAGAAATCTGTTTTACTTTCTGGTTGTTTTCCTGTTTTTAAGCATCTTCCTGTTATCTTCTGTTTCTGATTTCTAGTTTTTCTGTTATGGTCAGAGAAGCATACTCTGTGTGATTTTAGTTCTCTCACAGGTGTTCATGGGGCATATGGTAGATATGTCATGCAGCTATTGCCGGGTGCTTGAGAGCCATTCATATTCTGCTGTTCACATTTACAGAACATCTTCCTGACTGCTATGACCTGTTGATTGGTTGATGATATTGGCCAATCTCCAATAATCTTGCTGTTTTTTTTCTAAGAGAAACTAAAATTGTGGATATCTGTATTTCTCTTTTCAGTTCTATTAGTTTTTACTGAATGTATTTCAAACATACATCTTGTTTTGAGACATCCAAATTTAGGACTGCTACATCATCTTGGTTTAATTGTGTTCCTTTTATCATTCTATAATGTCTTTGTCTTTCATAGTCTTGTTTGCTCTGAAGTATGCTTTCTCTGATGCTAATATAGCCACAACTATCACCAGAGGAGGTCTGAGGAGTTCCTGGAGAGGGGGACCACAATTCAGGATGAGTAGGGTTCTTGACAAAATCACAGAAATGAATTTAAGAACACATCAGTTAGAGACACACAGATTTATTATGAAAGCAGAGACAGTTTCAAGAGAGAACGCAAACCATCTAGAGGTTCTTAGTCTCTTATTTTAAAGGAGACTTGGTTCTAGGAACTTGGGAGGTTATGTTGGGATGACATCAGTCTGGTATCACAAGATGATTCATGGCGGTCTGGCAATTCTGAGGATGTTAGGCTGATGTGGTCTCTATTATCTGGTTAGTAGATAACATTAGAAAGTGTCATATATCATAGATATCATAAATGTCTCCTTTTGCCCAATCTGTTTTAAAATACATGTATTAGTGGACTAATTTACAGCACACAGGGCAATTTTCATAAACAGGTGAATTTCCAGTAACTAAGATCGTGAGTGAAGATTTTGGGGAAATTTGGGCAAGGGAGCAACAAGCAACAGAACTGGCTTAGGAATGATGGTCCAAAACCTGAAGGACTTCAGCACAAAGTTTCTAGAGTTAAGTTTTACTTTCTTGTCTTTCCTTTTGTCTTTTGTACCTGTTTTTAATTTCTTTTCTATGATTCTTCAAACTACCTTTTCAAAATTCATGTTTTCATGATGTATCTTCCATCCTTTTGCCTTCAGTCAACTTAAAACGTCAGAATTGAAATGATAATTCTTACAGACCGATATAGGTAGGTCACTATTTTTTCCCTCTGCCAACTTTTATCTTTTAATTATTTAGACTATTTACATTTAAAGTAATTACTGATATATTAGGGCTTAGTCTGCCATCTTACTTTTTGTTTTCTGTTTGTTCTTGTTTTTCATCTCTCTTTTAATGAACATAGGCCTCACTATTCATACAGATGTGGGAGACCAACCTCGCATGTGACTGAGTCACTTCCTGGCTGAGTGATTGAGGGTTGGGTAGCAGAAATGCCACTAGACTGCCCCACCTTTCTTGGGTTCTTGGGACAGTGTCTTCGTGCATGGGCGTGTCATCCTACAGCCCCATGGGTGGAGCTAAGCTCACCTGCTGTTCCTTTGTAATATTACCCCTTGCCCTGTTTGGGATAGAATGTTTCATGGAAATGCTTTTTGTGTGATCCCTTATCTTACTGTGCCCTTGGGTGTGGTCTACCTAGATGTCAGTCAACCTGTTGACAGCAGACATCTTGAAGCTAGCTAGACTCAGCCCCCTGAAACCTGACCCTTTGCCTCATTTGAATAGCTTCTCCTCAATAAAAGGGGTCAGCATGTTCTCTCTCTTTCTGCAGACCCTTAAGGTCAGAGGAGCAACCCCAAAGGAAAAGGTATTTCTGTCCTTGTGTGGTTATTTTGCGCAGCCCAATCAGCCCAGTTCCCCTGGAGTGACCCCTGAGTGTTTTAGCCACGAGCAACCAAGCAATTGGCGTCCCTGGGCGGACAAAAGGTCTGAATGCTTAAGCTCCCAGGACAAAAGCCACACACAGAAATTGTATGCAACTTTATTTTATTTGCAGGGCTGGGGATCACAACTAGGACTTTGCACATGTGAGACAAGCACTCTACCAATGAGCTACAACCTCACCGTCATTTCTGTATATTCTTTTTCCTGCCTTCCTGTGGGCATGGTGAGTACATATAATTTTATTTTGCCTTGGCATCCAAATTTTTTTTTGTGTATGTGTTTGCCAAAATCCAGGAATGAATTGGTGCCCCGTTTTAATTATAATTTTCTTATACCTGAAGCAGTGCTCAATCACCCTGAGATAGATGAACTCTCAGGGAGAGAGAAGAGACCTTTAGAGGAGGGAGGGAGAGCCACATTTATGAGCATGACCAGTCATGCTTGTCTCTTTAGTTAAGTAGACAAAACCTCCAGCATATTCTTGTACCAGATCAACTAGAACAAAAACAATCTATTTAAATGTCACCAGATTCAAGGACCTATACAATGTTCCCAGAATTGATTTATGGCTAGACTGCTTAACCACGAAGAGACATTGTGAACCTCAAGTATGAACTGATTGAGATAAGATTCAATTTTCACAAAAGCTTGCCTGGGAACCTGTACTTTTCTTCCTAGAAAAATCCTATATGTAGTCAGGGGACTGGACCCTGGTTGTGTCATTAGCCTTCTATCCTCTGTGAGTCAAGGAGCACCTGCACCTGCTGCTGGTGTGTGTTGGGGTCTGTTTATCTTTGCTTTGCTGTCTTTTAATAAACATTTGCTTGTGCCTTGTTTTCCATGTGTCCTGAAATTAATTTCAGTGGCACAAGAACCTGTCCATGCCCAATTTACCTCTCACTGTCCACTTGGAGGGCCCTCCTTGGACCCCTGTCCAGTGACAAACCTTGGTACAATGTCTAACATTATACCCTACCTGAATGGTTCCATCCAGTGACTAGAGATAAACTTAGAGGCATCTCTCCTGTCTAGCTGGCAAGGGAAGGGAGACTCCCTGCTTTCCTGCTGCTTTACTTAAACAGACCATTCAAACATTTGCCCTGAATTTAAAGTGACCAGCTCTTAGTCACAGCATGACCTACAGGAATTAGTGGCTTAAACCCATCAACTAAAATGCTCTAAACTGATTAATTAAAGCTCCCCCTGGGAAAACTGTTTGGATAATGCCCTGGACCCCATAAAGGCACTGGCCTGCTAGGCATGGTGGTATAAGCCTGTATTCCAGCTACTTGGGAGACGGAGGCAGGAGGATTGCAAGTTTGGGGTAATCCTGGGCAACGATTTAAAAAGGGGTCTGGGGATGTAGCTTAGTGGTAGTGTCCCTGGGTTCAATCTTCACTACTGAGGGAGATCAAAAAGGAAGTATAGGTATAAGGGCCCTTTCTCTTTCTCTTTCCCTCTGTGTGTACAGACATACAGTGCTGACTTTCCAGGGGTTTTAAACTTTCATTTGTGGTTGTGTCACTGAAGCTGTGCCTGCAGTCCAACCTTGATGGTGAGGCTGTCCAAAGAGACTCATGCAGGTGGATCTTGTGTGTCTGGTGGATGCTAAATTGATAGAGAAACTCAGAGTATCATTCGAACATGTAAACATTTTTATAATTCCATTTTGATTTATTTGGAAAAATTTTAAATGTATATCTGTGTATTTTTTAATGACTCTTCCAGGTATTACAATACATGTGTAACATATAAGTCTATCAACATTTTACGACTTCAAGTGAAGTATAGAAACCTTACTTCCCTTTACTACCCCCATTTAAAATCCTTTTATTATCCCCACTTTAAAATATAATTATATATAATTAAAAAGGTAATCATCTTAAATATTTCATCTATGTATTTTAAGCACTGCATCAGTTAATGTTATAATTCTGCTTGAACCATCAAACATAATTTTAAAAATCATAAGAAAGAAATTGTTACATTTACCCCTATTTTTACCTACAATTTTGTTCCTTCTTCCCTTCAGAAGTCCCAAGCCTCCTGCTGTAACCATTTCTTTTCTGTTAGGGAAATTCCTGTAGATATTCTTTAAGGGTAGGTCGGCTTATGACAAATTTTTAGTCCTTCATCTAAGAATGTCTTGGCTAAGAATATTTTCACTGGATTAGAATTGGGGCTTGGTAGTCCTCTGCTCTCAGGATTGAAAAATACTGTGTCACTCCCTCTGGCCTCCATGTCCAGATGGAAACTGCAGTGTCATTCAACCAGTGTTCCTCTTTAGTCAACATGCCATTCCTCCCAAGAGTTTTTGTTTCAGTTTTCAGAAATTTGATGTGTCAATTTCTTTGGGCTTATCACTGAGGCTCACTTAGCTTTTTGTATCTGTAGGCATTTTGTTAAATTTGTGGAGTTTTCAAGCATTTTAACTTCCAACATTTTTTCATCCCACACTGTTCCTCCTCTCCTAGAAATTTGACAACATGAATGTAGTTTTTTTTTTTTAAATCATTCTTCAGATCCCAAAGGTTCTCTCTCTTTCTTTCTTTCTTTTAAGTTATAAAATAAACCTTTTATTTCCCCTGCTATATAAACTCAATACATAATAAAATGTCAGCAGAACGTTCTCTATATAATTTTGTATTTCATTATCTAAATGCAATAGCATATAATAAATTCTGGTCTAAAAAATAATAGTGATGTGATAGCTTGCGAAATTCTGTGATGGTAGTTAATAGCACTTAGTTTGCACTTTAAATGGTTAGAATGATAAATTTTGTTACAAATATTTATCATACACACACACACACACACACACACACAAGACCATCCCTATCTCAGGCAGAGGAGCTTTGGAGTGTGAAGAGCCTGGGTTTTGCTTTGAATCCCCCATCTAACTGAGTATGGGGATCATTCCTAGCTACTGGGTGGGGTGCTGAGATCAGGGAAACCCAAATTTCAGGCCAGTCTGGGCAATTTAGCAAGGCCCTGTCTCTGACTCAATAAAAACTAAAAAGGACTGGGGATGCAGCTCAGTGGTAGAGCACCCCCCTGGGTAACAAAAACAAAACAAAAAAACATCCAAATTCAGGGGCTGGGAACGAAGCTCACTGTGTAGCATGTTCTCAGCACGTGCGTGCGAGGTCCTGGTCTAAGCCTCAGGACTGAAAAAAAAATCTCCTTGAAATGCTTGGTGTAGCTCAGGGGTACAGTGCTTGCCTAGCACATGTGAGGCTCTGGGTTCAATCCCCAGCACCAATGAAGACTCCAGATTCAGCCAGGTGCTGTGGCACATACCAGTAATGCCAACATTCAGGTGACTGAAGCAAGAAGATCATGTGAGCCCAGGAATTCAAGACCATCTGGCATAGCACAGTAAAACCCCATCTCAAAAACCAACCTACCAACAACAACAACAAAAACAACAAATTTAAGGGCTGCCTTTCTTTTTGGAGTATGTTTTCTCTTTGTTGTTAAACTGGGTAATATCTGTTTATTTGTCTTTGAATTCACTGATTGTTTCCAATGTCATCTCCAGTGTGCTACCTGTCCTTCAGCACAGTTTGAGAGCTCTGAGTTACAATACACAAATTGTGCTTACCAGCGGCCCTGTGTGAAGTGCGTAAGTGTTGCCTCGGATCACCCTTCTGTCATACATTATGTTTCCATACCGCATAGGTTCTTCTTCTCTGTAAAACAGCAAATTCTAAATAAGTATTTTAATAGAGTGTTGATGTCTATGAAATAAATTCACTGTCAACAGTATTTAGACTAAGATAAAAACATTTTAAGAAAACAGATTTCTGTTTTACTATGGCCCATAAAAAAGGAGACAAATGGCTGCCATTTATATAGAGCTTACTATATGCCTGATTCTTTCATACGTACTATTTTATTTATTGCTCACAATAAGCTTCAAGTTGGGAACTATGATTCTATCTGACAGGAGAGGAAACAGAAAGGAATCTGCCCAAGGTCACCTTGCTAGTAAATGGCAGAGCTAGCTTCAGTTGTAAATCTGTAAGACTACTTATCAAATGTGAAAATGGCCCATCTGAAAAAGAGCCTGCTCTGAAGAACTAAAAAAAGTTTGATTTGAGGACTGAAAAGTTACATGTATAAAAGAATTTGGGGGCTGAGGATGTGGCTCAAGCGGTAGCACGCTCGCCTGGAGTGCGTGCGGCCCGGGTTCGATCCTCAGCACCACATACAAACAAAGATGTTGTGTCCGCCGAAAACTGAAAAATAAATATTAAAAAAAAAAAAAATTCTCTCTCTGTTAAAAAAAAAATTTTGGATTTTAAAAAAAGTCCAATTTCTCATTATTCTTTTAACCTAAAGATATTTTTAAAAGGTATGGTTTAAAATTAATACAATTTTAATCTCAGGGGTCGGAATGATCACTAGTAAGAAATATGAATACACAGTGGGTATTTTCATCAGAAGTTCTTTAAATGATGTCCTATTTCTTCTCTGGCTGCTCTTTTTCAACCTTTGTTTGCAGCTCTTTCTGGTCTGGAGGATTTCATCAGGCTCTGCTTTCTCTTGTCCTTAGATGACCTCCTCCATTGGCAGTTTCTGTTATGACCAATATGCTAACTTTATTTTTAGCTCACAACTCTTCCTTTCCAACTTGTAAATTACTTGAGTGTTACTTCAGCTCGGCTGGCCACTCTTTCAGGGAAGGAGCAAAGTCCCAAAGAATTTACATAGTTGTTAACATGGTTTACCTTGGGGTAGGGGTGAGTGAGCAGGCTGCAAGGGAAGTGGGGTGAGGTATCAGATTGTCCTAATAATGCCCTCAAGCATGAGTGTGAGTCCATTTATATATAATTAAATATGTATGTGCATGTATACATAAGAAAATAGGGCAGATAAAATAGGGGGAAAAAGGAATTAGAAATTGTTGAATAATGGGAAAGGCCAATTGCATAATAATATATGCTGGTATGACTTTATTTCAGAAATAAAGCCTCTTCCATATATACATATGTGCTCATTTATGTGTGTACAAAAAGAAGAAAAAAGACTGTTAGGTTTGGTTAAAGCAGGGAAACAGGAGTAGAGGCAGGCAGGAGATGATTAACTGTTTTTATTTATCTGTATTTTTATTTTTTCATTTGCTTCAAGAAACATATATTACTTTTATAAATTAAAAACCATCAATAAAGATAATTTTAAATGGAAAACATGTGCTCTCTTTTCTCTCTCTCTCCCTCTCCTTCCAATAGCCTATAATATAACTAAAATAAAGACTGTTATGGTTTTGACGTGCCTGTGTTTCTGTAGGAACATTCAGCGGTGAAATGACTGAACTGTAAGAGTTGTAATCTAATAAGTCCATCCTAGTTTGAATGGACTGGGTAGTAACTGCAATTGTGACAGGGCTGGAGGTGGGCCACTATGGGCATGCCCTGGAAGGGTCCCTCTTTGCTGTGGCCTCTTTAGCTCTCTGCTCTTTGCTTCTTGTCTCCACCATGAGTTGAGCAGCTCTCCTCCATTGGGCCCTTCCTGCCTGACAGGCTGCCTCTCCTCAGGCCCAGAGCAATGGATTTAGCTGTCTTGGACTAAGACTTCTGAAGCCATGAACCCCAAATAAACTTTTCCTCCTCTAAGTCATTCATGTCACATATTTTGGTCCCAGCTATGAAAAAGCTAACTAAAACAGAAATTGGTACTGAGAAGTGAGTTGTTGCTGTGACTAATTTGGCCATATGGTTCAGAAGCCTTTGGAAATGATTTGCAGGAGAAATTTTGAAAAGTTTAGAGATGCAAGTTGAAAGAGCTTTAGAATGCTATAAGCAGAGTTTAATGGGTGATTCTAGTGTAAGCTCAGAAGACCAGAATGGTGACAGAATGCGGACTGTGCCCATGAGGTTTCAGATGGAAATGACGACTCCATTGGGAACTAACTGGACTAGATATTATACTCTGGCAAAGAACTTGATTACATTTTGCCCATGTTTTTAGACTTTGTGTGAGGCTGAATTTAAAAGTGATGGGCTAATTAATCTGGTGCAGGAAATTTCAAGGCAGCACAGCATTCAGCACAACATCTGCTGGATGTTGCCAGCAGATTTTCGTCAGATTTACTGTGAGAATAAGGAGCAGAAAGCAGGGCTGAAGTGTTTTAAAAACTTGTTAGGCCAGAAAAGTATGAGTAAAGCTGGGGCCAAGAAAGCTGTGCTTAATGAAGATATTATAGTCCCTAAAGAGATGCCAAGTACTTTACACAAGATAATAGGAAAGAGCATCTCAGAAATTTGCTCACCCATACCCACAACAGGCTCCTGGGCACAGGAGGGAAAATTCTTTTCAGAGATCATGGGCGTGCCCTGCTCATATAAGGGGTCTTGGGAAACTGTTTCACCATGATGAACTGCACAGGCACTCAGAGGTCACTGCAGCCATTCTTCCTGGTGGTGTAGGTACTGTGTGAGCTGGTGACAGATTTCAGCATCATTCACATGGTATAGGTTCTGCAGGAATGCAGTTGCTGGAGTTAGGGGGTCACGGAAGCTTCCATGGGAATTTCAAAGGAAGGCCCAGGAGGCCAGGCAAAGTGTATCAGCGTTAGGGTCCTTGTGGGCCACTCCTGAGAGGGCAACACATGAAGCTGTGAAGATGAAGCTGGAATGGAAATCTTGGGAATTAAGAGTTCCAATAACATGGACCATCTGTGGAGAAAAGCTGTTGGCTGCAGAGATCCAGGCTAAAAGAAAGCCCATGTGCCCTTCAACTGGCAAGGCCAAAGGAGCAGGGGGGATACTTAACCCCTTTGGAAATAAAATATCATAGCCATGTGTCCTAGATGCTGTATGTGGAGTTATTGGACCTGTTCACCCAGCTGGGTTTTGGTCCTGTTTTGGCCTTTCTATGATCCTATTCCTCCCTTTTGGGGTAGGAATGTTTGCACTGTTACACTGTACATGGATATATGTAACTTTCTCTTGATTTTTGCAGGGGCTCACAACAAAGAGTTTGCCCTGAGTTTCAGATGAGACTTTGGAGGTGGACTCTTGGGCAATGCTAAAACTGTTAAGACTGTGGAACAATTGGAGATGAACTAAATGCATTTTGTACTGTGAGACGGATATGAGCTTTTGGGAATAAGAGGCAGAATGTTAGGGTTTTAGGTATTAGGTGTCCCCTCAAAATTCCTCTGTTAATGCAGAAATATCCAGAGGTGAAATGACTGAATGGTGAGAGTTGTAACCTAGTAAGTCCATCTTAGTTTGAATGGACTGGGTGGTAACTATAGGCAGATGGGGTCTGGCTGGAGGACATAAGTCTCTAGGGGTATGCCCTGGAAGGATGCATCTTCCACATGGCTCCTCCCTCCGCCCTACTTCCTGACCCTGACATGAGGGGAGCAGCTTTCCTCCACGGGGCTGTTCCTCCATGATGAGCTGCTTTACTCTGGGCCTAGAGCAATGGACTCTGAATCATCTATGAACTGAGGCCTCTGAAACTGTAAGCCCCAATTAAACTTTTCCTCCTCTAAGTTCATGTCAGGTATTTACAGAGATGAAAAAGCTAACTAAAACAAAGACCAAGCCTGAATGTGGTGTATCTAGCTCCTGTTGCTCTCCTATAGGTCTGTTTCTTCCCTGGTCACATTGACTTTATAAGGTCCTCAAACAAACCGGACTCATTTCCTATGAGGGGTTCTATACATGCTGTTTCTTCTTCCTGGAAACTATCCCTCCCCTTCCTCTTGTCCCCATCCTTTCCTATCTTCAGATCTTAACTTTAATGTCATATTCTCAAAAAGGCTCTTCTTGTCTCTCTATAGACATGTCCTTCTTCCCCTAGCTAGGGACCCTCTTGTATGTTCTCACTGCATGCTGTGTTTCTCTCTTGTTGTAATCATTGCACTAACACTTGTTTACTGCCCACTTGTCTTTGTCAGCATTTGGTTAGTCTCATGAAGTCCCAAGAAACAGAACTTTAAACCTATCCAATTAAGTTTCATATTTTGGTTTCAACCCAGTTATAAACCCAGTTGGATAATTTGTAACCTTAACTCACTTCAAGCCTATTAAGATATCCATTTCAGCTATGTGTCATCTGGAAAACTGAACGAATTGCCTAGTTCAACATAAAATTTTGAACAAAATAGGACTAAAGATTTTATGGAATAGAGACAGAGTGACATAATAGCATACTCTTTTCAAATATCGTCATTTTGTCATTCACCAGCAAATTTAGCTAACAATATTCTTCTGGACACTTTCTCAATATTTTATTCATAAGGATATCATGTCAGCCTTATCCACAAGGATATCAATGATTAAGATCTGAAAGCAACTACTTACATGAAATTAAAATTTTACTGTGCTTTCTGCATTACTTTGATACATATTACTTCAATATATAAATCAACTAATTATAAAAAATAATCCCTAATAAACCAACATTGACTCTCAGTCCTAATTTATTGGTTTGATTTACTAGTAATGATTTGTGAGAAATCAGTTAAATTCACCAGAAAGTGTTCTTGGAGTCATTTTTATATTGAATCCTTATATAACATCTATATCTCCCTTCAAATTAATGTTTTCTGTCTTAATTTTTCTCTTAAGTGATAGCAATCTTTACTGAAATCTTTGTCCTAAAAAAGATAATTATAAATTTAGACTCAGGGTATGAAATAAGTATCAAGAGTTGCATTGCTGATGCTCAATAGTGCATTCACGGTTTGTACTGAGTGCTTACTAGTGCTAGGAATAGTCCTAGATAAACAAAAGATGCAGATTCCTGCTTCCATGCAGCCTGCATTTGTGTGAAGTTCTGCTGATTCCAAAATTTGAGGCTTATGTAAACAATTTTAATAGAACCATAAGTTTATGGTCTCTTCTATGTACGGTTGTTTGAATATTTGCAAAAATTCATCATAAATTTGCAGTTCTGCATATAAAGACAACCTAAGTCCTGCCCAAAGACTGGTGTGGGAAGGATTTTGTAAATGCTATCGTGTTTGTCACCCTTATACCTCAGTTTCCTCATTTGCATAATGAAGTTATGAAACCAACTTCACAGCACTGTGCATCCAAAAAATGTTTCACTTCACTTCCCCAGTGAAGTGTCTGGTACATGACTGACTCAACAAGCATTAGTTTGGGAAATAGGGAAATTCGTATTCGTGTTATGGATCGTGTCAGCAACTAGAGTCACTAAAGTAAACTAAGAGAGTCCACACACGTCCCTTTCGGCTTCACTGCTTCACACCACGGGAGTTACTCAGAAATTTTATTTTGGCAGAGTGCAAACGAAAGCACGGACAGCTTTTGCCAGGGCGAAAGTGGTGATCGGACAGGGGCTGGTTTGGTCACTCACGGCTGCAACAGGTTGTCCCGGTAACGGCGGCGCTGGCAGGGCAGGACCCGGGGCCTGCTGGTGTAGGTGTAGGTGCCCATGGCCCCGGAGGTGCGGTCAGTCAGCGCGGAGGTCATGTCCGGGGTCGAGCTGCCCGGCTTTCGGTGAAGCAGGTGGGCGTTAGGGAGGCGACAGAGCCAGAGAGTTGCGGGTAGTGCCAAGAGCAGGAATTCCACGAGGCGAGGAGCGGCGGCGGGCCGGGAGGTGGGCGCGACGCGAGGCTGCCGGAGCAGGAGGCGGGAGCTGCACTCGACTTGCTCGGGGTAGCGCAGAGCCAGTCGTCGGCGCCGGCTCCGGTTGCTCAGCAACTGGGGGTTCCGCTTGGGGGCGGGGTCTCCAGACAGTTCCGGCCGGCGGGTTTCCCGGGAAGGTCCACCGCTAGGGGCATTTCCGGCTCTTGACTCCGCCCACGTGCGTCCCGTCGGCGCGCTGCGGACCCTGCGGCTCCAGGGGCGGGCACGGCGGCTTCGGCGGAGTCCGGGGGTGCCGCGGCAGGGGTTCGGGGCCGTCGTTGGGGTGCGGCGAAGCAGGGCTGGTGCCAGTGCCATTCTCGCTGGCCCACCTGCTCTTTCAGGGCCCTTCTCGGCCTTCTCCGGCGGCGCCCCGGCGCTCTCTGCCGCCCAGCGCCGACACGCCCTTGGCCGGCGCTCGGCTCTGTTACGTGCCGGGGCGGAGAGGGGCTTCCGGGCCTGTCCCCCGCGGGCCGCGCAGCGGGCGCTTCTCCCCGCCGGCCTTCGCTCGTGGTGGGCGCTCGGAGCGGCGGGGCCCCCGCAGACACAACGTTGGCCAGGGGGTGGGCGGGTGTGGGGTAGGAGAAACGCCCGGTTCCCGTCCCTTAGTCTTCCAGGCCCCGGGACACGTAGGGAGGGTCTGCGCCCCGAAACGCAGGTGCCTCGGGTTTAGCGCCAGCGATTAAAAATCTTGCGTCTCAGTGAATGCAGTCAGTGCAGCCCTCGTGGCCAGGATGCGTTTGGACTTCACCTTACACCTCGAGTGTATTAGCACCGCAACACTCCGGGGAAGTTTAATGTGTTCCTTCATTTTCCTAATCTGCAAAGTGGGGAAAATCGGATTGGTTTCTTAGGATTCGTTTTGAAGATTAAAAACATTGATGAAGGTAAACTACTCAGAACTGTGGCTGCTAGATGTCCGCTTTCCTCTCATTTGAAGTTTAAGGTCTAAAGAAGATGTCAGCGTTGTTTGGCTAAAAGTGTATGGTAGGGGCTGGGGCTCAGTGGTACCTGTGAAGCACTGGGTTCGATCCTCAGCACCGCATAAAAATAAATAAAAAGGTATTGTGTCCATCTACAACTAAAAAAAAATATTTAAAAAATCTCTATGGTAAATGCTAGAGGTAAAAACACTGCTGAAGATTCTAGAGCCTATCACTTAATTTTGAGGAAATTTTGAAAGTATTAGAGGAGACAGACATTTAAATAACTGATCAGAGTGATAGTATTTTGAGTGATCAAGATCCTGGATGAAAGTGCCTTTAGATTGTCTTCATCAAACACTCAAAAGCCCAGGTGTACATGGAGAACTCTAAGTGGGATGTGCATAGATGAACTGTAAAGATATTGTAGAAAGAAAAGTTGGCACCATGTCATGGAAACGTTGAACATTAGCTTATGAGAAGGCTTTTGCCCTCATGGAACAGAATAACAATTCCAAGCAGTTGAAACAATAAAGACTTCATTATTTAACTTCGGTTCAGAGATAGAGTACCTCCCAAGTTGGTAACTTGGGGGTTCAGCACACAGTCAACTCGCTTTTCTCCACCTTTTTACTTTGTCACCTGGGTCATTGTTAACAAGATAGCAACAGAAGTACATAGACTAGAAAGCTGAAGAGTGCATATTCTGTCTTTATTGGAAGTGTGGAAAACTAACCTACAAACTACCAAGTAACTAGAGTTGCATCACATCATTGATAAAAGTTTAGGATCTATACAGGACTACCACATTTGAATTAGACTGGGGCCTCAATCTTGTGGGGTTTCTAAGAAGCACTTAGCCATGAGGAAGAGAAATTCTGCTAGGAGGATGTCGGGGCAAGGAACAATGGGTATTGAGTGCTATACCAATTTATGAAGAACTTGTTAGCCAGCCACTAAAGATTCTTTGGGATTTTATTTTTACTGAAGGACAAGGGTAAGGGACAGGGGTGGGTGGAGCAGTGTGATAGTAGATGAAGCTAGTAACCAAGTTGTTGTGCCTTGTTGAAGGTCAGGGCAAAGGCTTCAGCTTTTCCTCCTAGGCTAAGATGTTTTGAGTAGAAGCTTTATATAATTTGATTAAAATAAATCCCTTTTTTCTCTAGTTGAGAAACTTAAGTGGGGCCAAGGCAGTTCTCAGTTGGCCTGGCTGAATGGCTGGTTGGTTTGTTTTAGTCACCAGTGGAGGGTATGGTGAGAAGTGAAGATCTGTATCTTTTTTGTTGTTTTTTGTGGGGGCGTGGGGGTTTACCTGGACTTGCACTTAGGAGAACTCAATCACTGAGCCACATCGCCAGCCCTATTTTGTATTTTATTTAGAGACAGGGTCTCACTGAATTACTTACCACCTTGCTTTTGCTGAGGCTGGCTTTGAACTTGCAATCCTGCAGCCTCAGCCTCCCAAACCACTGGGATTATAGGCGTGTGCCAGGGCGCCCAGCCTGGATTTGTTTTTAAGGTAGAAATATGGATTGGATTTGGGTACAAGAGAAAGAAAACCAAGATGACCTAACATGTTTAATTAAATGTTGGACATTGAATAGATAAAGCTGCAAAAGTTTTGGCTGAGGTTATCTTTCACCAGAGAGGTTTTATTTTATTCTGGCTGGAAGTTAAAGTAGAAGCAGATGATCTTTAACCAAGGATTCAGACTTTCTGAGGGCTGATCTTTCTTTGACTTGCCCTTATTCTAGAGCATCGGTTTTTCTGTCCTCTCTCTACAAGAAATCCGGGAATGTTTAACAGGTCCCCAGATTTGGGTGATCGTGAACTCCATTTTCTTTCTTTTTTTGTATTTCCAATTCTATGAGGTCGTTGAAAATTTAGGTCGTTAGCCATTTAGTGACCACTAGTTTCTTGTTTGCCAGTGCCATTTCAGCTTAGAATTAACTCTGATTTTTACCTCCCCAGGTGTGAAAGGCTCTTGACACCTGTAGGAGCTGCTTTCTGCTTTCCCTAAATGCCCTGCAAGAAACTCAGCAAATGTCCCAAGGAGAAAAAGCAATGGGAAAGTTCCTACCACTTTCTGTATTTCCTTTTTCCCTGGGATCCCAGTCCATCATATTCAAACCTATTGATTGCTCTTCAGAATCTTCAAATAACCTGTGTGGTTTGGTTGTGTTGTGTTTTGTCTGTTCCTGTTTTTCTTTTCAGGGAAATGTGCTCAGATTAAAGCTATTCAGTCATAGCTTGACCAGAGTAACTGGAAGAATGAATTGTCATTTACTGTTACAAGAAACACTGGAGAGGAAAGGGTTTTGGGGTGAGTGTTGGGCACATTAAGTTTTGAAGTTCAGTTTTGGTCACATTAAGCTTGAAAGGCACATTAGTCATTGAAGAGGAAATAATTGAGAAGAAGTTGGATATGGGAGTCTAGAGTTTCAGGAGACTAGTCCAGGATAGGGATAAGGATTTTTTGATTCAACAGCAGGTAGATGGCATTTAAAGCCATGAGACTTGAGATTATTAAGGGAATATAGATGAGAGATGAGCCATTGAGCTACTCTAGTGCTTACAGGTCGGGAAAATGAGGAATAACTGGCAAAGGAGGATTAAAGGGAGTGGCCACAGAGGCGAAGGAAGATGCAGAAAGACTGGCCACCTGGGATTCCGATGTGGATAGCGTTTCATAGAGAAGGGAGAAATCAAGCATGTCTGATCTAATTCTTGAGCCAAATAAGAAGAGAAACATTAGATCCAGCAACAGAGAGGTAGTTGATGATCTGTGGAGTTAAGAAGGAGAACAGTCAATTGCACTGGGTTTAGAAGAGAGTGGGAGGAGAGGATTTTGTGATTTAAGGAGCTGGTAGCAAATTTCACCAAAGGAAAAGAAAGAAATGAGCTGTACCTAGAAGTAAATTGAGTCTAGAGAGGGTTTTGTATTTTTTAATGGCAAAATTGAGTATTGAATATGTTTATGGAGTGACTCAGTCCATGGAGCACAGTGGAGGATGTAGGAGAGAGAATTGGTGGAATGATGTAAGTGAGAAGAGATGGGCTTTTATGCACAAGTAGCGGGCTTGGCTTGCACAGAAACATGGACGGTTCATGTGTAGTAGAGAGAAAAGGTAAGTTGTGACCACAGATAATTCTCAAATTCCTTAATAATTAACAGGGCATACATAATTATATATGTAATTTCACTTAGTTATTATAATGACCTCATGAGGTAGAAATGACTCTCATTAGCTTATAAGAGAACTGAAGTTTAGAGAAGTTAAATAAATTCAGCAAACTCATGCATCAAGTGATAGAAGCAAGACTTAAACCCTTGTGTCTGATCCTAGCACCTTTGAACTAGTGCATCAGCTTATCGTGCTTGTGGTCTTCCCACCTCTGACCCTCCCATTTCTTCCCTCGTGCATTCTTCCTTGCTGCCCCCTCATTCTCCACATCCCAGTAATCACAGGTCCTGTCTTTGTTACTTGTTCCTTGATTCTGAAATTATTCCTTTTGTATCCTTCCTAATCTCACCAGCCACTGACCTGTTCATTCCAACCCAGTGTATCCTATATTGGACCTCCGATGGAGGCTCAGAATGTTCCAGCTGAAATGCAGCAGTTCTCTCTTCTAGAATTTCCATACCTGAACTGCCTAATGAGTTTAGGTTCCTTAAGCCACGGCACAACCTGTCACTGCCTGGTTACTGCCTGTTTTCCTATCTCAAATCTTACTGGTTTCTTCCTTGGGCCTTTTCCTCAATAGAGCTGGGCCTTGAAATCCCACGTGATATTTCTACCTCAGGGTCTGTGTTTTTTGCTTTCTCCCTGTCCCTTCTCCCAAATATTTTCTACTCATGTTTTAAATTCTCAGCTCCAGTTGTTTTCTCCGTAAAGACTTTCTGATTCCTCTAACTTGGATTCCTGTAGTCCCTGGCCATATTTCTGTCTTTTACTCACCATGTGTCATTTATAATGGTCTGTTAAACATGTTTGTCTCTACAGCAAGGATGGAGTTCCTTCTGGATAGGGATCCTGTCCTGCTCTGTCGATAGCCCTACCACATAGCTTCACATTAAATAGCAGAAGTGCACAGTTGACCCAGGGAAGAGGAGAGGGAGCATCTTTTCCTATTAGATGTGAAAAAAGTGAACGTGTT